ACCACCTCCACCTCCACCTCCACATAGTACTATGCAGTGCGGCTGTACCAACAAGGCTTGCAGTGAAGGCTTCGTGAGGGAAAGCAAGTTGGGCTGTATTACCTAAGCTCCTCCGGCCTTCTTCGCGCCCCACTGAGGTCGATGGTGACCATCAACGGGAAGGGGGCTTGTGTTTCTTGTCCCCCGTGGCCAGGTGCGCTTCGGGGCAAAACGTAAACAGGGCCTGGCCACTGTTGCCAAAGTACTTGCCCGGAGCGTGAGTCCCCATCGGCACTTCGGAGATCCAGGTTTCGGCCGAAAAGCACTGTGTGCGGCGGAAGGGTAAGACAAGCCAACGTAAGAAAAGAAGGGAGGCGGGGGGGCTCGACTTACCCTGCTAACGTTGTAGTGAGCCATAACGGGGCGAAGAATACCAACGTAGGAGGCATGCGCCAAGGCGTTGCAGAAGAAGGCGTCCTCCTGCGTACCTCCAACTGCAGTATGTTTGAGGATAAACAACATCGTATGTCTGTGCCGAAAGCTTAGTCCCCCTGTGCGTGTCGTGCGTGTAGTGTGTGTCGTGTGTCGTGTGTCGTGTGCCGTGTGTAAGATGAGGAAGAAAAAAAAACCAGATGTGTGATTAAAAAGTAAAGCGCTGCGTGGTACCGTTGCCACAACTCGAGAGCGCGTGCCCCCAAGGAGCACCAATGTAGTCATAGATCATGAAGTCATGGATCTTGAAGGGCGAATTGCCACACAGCGCAGTATCCGTCTGGAAGGTCAGGATGTTGTCCCCTGTTCAACCCACGTTTTCACTGTGTGAGCAGCGTGCGAGAGAGTGTGGGGGAGCGTGTGGGGGGTGCGTGTGGCATGCAGGCGTGAGCGCTCGCGTGCACACCTAGGGCGGTCTCCCAAAAGAGATTGGTCCGGATGAAGTCACTGTAGCCGTGGTAGGAGAGGTTCGCAGGCATGATCATATTCAAAGTTGCCTTTACTTGCTGCACCTCGGCCCTGCACCACCATTATTGACGAGAGGCAAGCTTAGATATATATATCGACAGCGCAAGCAATGGGGGGTTGGTTGAACATGTGGAAGGGGAGAAGATACACAGTCTTGATCCACTCGGCATTGTCGGGCGAGTGGTAGATCTGAAACTTCCAGTCGGGCGGCAGCACCTTCCGAAAGTTGAGCAGCACTGTTGTTTCCAGGCAAGAACGTGAGACAACCCTTTGACGCATGGGTAGGAGGGGATGGTTATGGTTATGGTTATGGTTGTGGCTAGGGTAGTACCTGGGCCGAGGCGATAATCCACCTCATGGAGTGCAAGTAGTGCAACTTTGGTCTCGTTGGCAAATCTGAGTCGATAAGCCAACGGCCGTATGGTTGAGACGCGGGGAGAGGGGGGGGGTGCTTAACCTACCGTTTGATTTTGTTGTTGCGCGTGGCGAGCATCTCCTCAAGAACGTTGGCGGTCTGCGCTGTCAAGTGGCTCCACTGGGCCTTGATTGCGCTGATGTCTTCAGGTCGCAGGAGCTCTTCCTCCCCCTCAACAACCGCGGTCGCCTTGTGCTCACTACTCTCGCTCACCTCCCCTGATTTATTCGAGACCTCCACCTCCTCCAACCTCCTGTCGTCTGTAAACTGGAAGGAGAGGAGCCTCTCGCCTGTGAAGCTGCCCAAGATGAACATGCCCACCCCCATCAGGAGGACGAAGACTATCGACCGCCCAACCATGTCTCTTTCGATTTTGTGACAAAAGAAGTGACTCTACTACTTTGAACACAGTTTTCTTTTTAAATATAAAAAAGGTAATAGCTCTGTTTTGGGCACGTCCACGTCACGAGCGCCCCGCGAACGACGACGCACCCACAGCACACAGGCGTACCATTTGCCCACCTCTTTTTGTTGATCTTGGCGATGATGCGGGCCAGGCCTGGGCGGCGGGGATGAGCTCCTGCGCGACGTCCACATCGCCGCCCGAAGACGACCAAGACGTGGCCACGCCTTCTTCACCGTCTTGGCCAGCTGCGCCAAGTTGAAATCGCGTTACAGTCAGCGCGGGCGTGCGTGCGTGCGTGCGGTCAGGTGTCGTGCGGCCGAGCGTGTGCGGCTGTACCTTGAGGGTGGAGCAGCGTACGATTTCGGAGGCGAAGGGCCTCGGCGGCGCTGTCGATCTTGAGCTGAGCGGTCTTGACGTCCCCTTCTTCTGGAGGAGGACCGAAGTCCGGCAGGGCGTTCAAGCTGAACGACAACCTGACGACCGCCGAGAAGCAGCGTCTGTGCATAGGCCGCGCAGCTGTAGAGCGAGCCGGCCTGCGCGATCGCGCGACCGCCGTAGGGCGTCACTCCCAGGCCTCGCCACACCTCGACAGTCAACGCACCACCATCGCTGAGCGTCTTGCCCTCCGCGTTCAACCTCAGCCATGGATAATGATGGGCTGGTGGCGGCGGTGGCTGCTGGCGGTGGCGGCGGTGGCTGGGGAAAAGACGGCAAAGTATTGAACAAAAGAGGAGACGCAAAGAAATAGAGAAAGTAGTGCGTGTGCCATAGGCGCTAACCACCGCCCTTCCTGGGAGCGTGGAGGTAGTCGGCGCTCAGGGCATCGCGGATCAGCGCCTGGAACTTCTTGGGGTCAACGTAGGTCTCCTGGTTGACCCAAAACCAGAAGTAGAGGCTCCCGCCGGCACTCCATCCTCCTCGCTCTGCGTCACACGACACACGCCAGTACCACACGACAAAACACAGAATGAATGAATGAATGAATGAATGAATGAATGAATGAATGAATGAATGAATGAATGTTGGGGAGGGCAGTTGACGTTACCCAGAATCCCCGCCTTGTCGGCCTTTTCCTGCTCATTGAGAATGTCCCAGTGCATCACCGTGCATTCCTGACACGGATTGGTCCACTCCTGTGTTTTTCGTTCGTTCGACGAACAAAATGAGATCGCCACCAGAGGAATGGTGTGGGCAATTGTAATCCCCCTTTGGAGGGGGGGAGGGAGTGGCGACCTTGTAGACAGCGCCCGCGCCGTGCGTGAAGCCCTGGTAGGCCGCTGCGCCACCACCTGCAGGTGGGTATATCGATCGATAACGATTGTTGGTCAGAGAAGGACCACACACCACACACCACACGCCACACGCCACACACCACCGTACACGCACCACCGCACACAACACACGACATACCACACACGGACCTGTCTTGAATGGCATGATCTGGAGCAACACGGCTCCGCGCTGTAGATACAGCGCGTTTGTCAAGCCCGATCCGTGCATTCCAACCAGCACCGTAGTTCTGATTGGGATTGGGGGGCGGAGGAAGATGACAATGACGATAAGGAAGTTTGAGTGTTTTTACCCCACTCAAGCCGCATGCGTCCGTGTCGTGTGTCATGTGTCGTGTCGTTGGTCGTGTGTCGTGTGTCTTGTCGTGTCGTACCGGCGTAGGGCTTGGACTTGCTGATAAAACGGGAGCGTGTCAAACAAAAGCAGCTCAGCCGACACGTTCATCTGGAGCGTGGCGTGCAGCAATTCCTGCGAGAATTCGAGTAAAAGAGAGAGAGAGAGAAAACGAATAACAAATGTCAGCTGCTATTGTGCATTGAATGAGCTCAAGCAGTGCACTGGTGGGTGAAGGACGAAAAAAGAACGAACCTGTTCGTTGAGCAGGAATCGTTTGAAGCTGCGCGAGATGATGCCCACGTGCGACTCAGTGGGTCGCTGGACCTTGATCTCCAACCGCTGCAACGCCCAGCTCGCAAAGTCCGTCCAGTCCCGCGCTGACGAACCACCACATTCATTGCAGTAATTAAATTGATAATTATGCATAAATGAAAAAAAATATAAATAAAATAGTGAGAAGCGAGGCCAGCGTACCAGTGGTCACAGGCTGCTTGACCATGGTGAAGCAGGTGTTTTCCTTGAGCTCGGAGCGATAGCGATAGCACTCGTGGCGGGAGAACAGTCCGTACTGCGAGAACAGACCGTTCCTGTGCGGCGGATCGAGCCGAAAAAGAGAAGAAGAGAAAAAGCGACGTTGAGCTCGATGACTGGTGGTACGTGGTGCGTGGTGCGTGGTGCGCGGTGCGCGGCGCGTGGTGCGTGAGAGCGGACCGTGTGGTCATGGCATCGCGGTCGACAATGACGACGTGGTCCTCGTGCTCCCGCCCCTCGAAGCCAGCCCACCAGCCGAGCAAATAGTCCGCATACCAGTGGTAGTACATTGCCACCGCGTTGTCCCCTGCAGCCGCGCACCCGCACCATCACCAACACCATCAGCATCAAACAATAACACCACCAACATCCACAGTGATCACAATCAAAGTCAACACATGAACACAAAACGAGCCGCAGCCGCGCATACCAGGGTGGGTCATATGAGGCATGCCGTGGATGTAGTGCTCGCACTGTTCTGATTCGCCGCCGCCACCTTCCCCAACACCTGATGACCACGATTTATGACCATTTGTGAGCTCCACTGACCGATGGGCTCCAAGTGGTGGTCGACAGTACCGTGGAGCTCTCCGCCGCTGTAGCGACTCACTACCCGCAGCGGGTTGTGCGGGTTGGCGGCGTTGTAGCCCTCCAGCGTGTTCGACTCCAGCTCGCCGCCGCAGTAGTCATTGCCCAACGCCGTCTTGAGCCCTGCAC